TATGTTTAGTAGTCCGAAACTTAAGACCGTTATTCTTAAAATTACCTTTGGCTAAACAAAGGCCTGGTCATGTTCCCAGATCTGGGCAGTTCTCAGCAAAATGTCTTGCTAAACAAATACATATAAATAAATAAAGCTATAAAAGTAGCTATTTCAGATTAGTTCTTGAACCTAGTCCTTATTTGGGCCTTCTGATTTAATTTCTCTTTGGTTGATTGCATTTTCCAAAAGAATAAATTGAGTATAAAACAGGTAGTTTTAAAATACTTATGTATTTTACATATAAAATGAGTATTTCTGATTTAATGGAACAGTGTTTCCCCAGCTTTAGTCTTTCACAAACTTTCTGCGTGATTTTTGCCACATTGGTGAACTGCTTGTGTTTTTATTTGTTTCGTATTTTCCTTAAATCAACTCAAATTAAATCTATACTATCTGTGAAACTGTTGATTTATATATGGGCTACTTACCTTTTCTGATATGCAATAAAATAAATACGTAACTTTTAAAATATAAAAATGTTTATCCACGTGCCATCAGAAATGTTCATCTCACCTCTTTACCCCATATACCATTATTGGGAGAACACTGGTAGTCAGAACATTTCTTTTGTGCTTTCCTCCTTTTGCTTTCTCAGATTCCTTTGTTCCAACAAAGGTTCCTATACCTGAGAAAAGAAACTAGAGCTGTTAGTTATTAGAGAGAGCAGTGTTCTTAATTTTAAAGAACTCCCCCTACCCTCCCTCCCACACATTTACTTTCATAGGATACTAGCATTTTAGAATTCACTGGCAGCTCATTCAAGGTTGAGTATACCTTGACCGAGCCAGTTTTCTGCATTTATTGGTAAGCATCTTAAGAGAACCATGGAGGGGGAATGATTGACATTAAAGAAACACCTGTATGTCGCAGCACAGGGAAACTCACTTGTTTAGCGAGTGAACTTAGTTGCGTTCTTGGGACCCAGCCTCATAGGGTCTCTTGGAGACTCGCTGAGATTTGAATGGAAACAGAGCTGAAAGGATTCTAGAGAAAAAGCTTATCCTCTTTCTTACAAATGGGGCGACAGAGGCCCAGAGGGGCAAAGTGGTATACCTGGGGTCACACCTTCAGCTGGTGTAAAACTTGAGGCTTGGCCTGCCTCCCCACATCCCTCCTGCATTTATCTCACTATCTCAGAAGCCTGGTAAGGAAAGTCTCATGCTGGGAATCACAGAAGCCTTGTATTAGAAATGGCTACTTTCCACTTCAACCAAGATCTGAGATCACTGATGCGACACCCTAGGGATGAGAGAAACATGTCAAGTTCACCTGGACAAGACCACTCATGACCTGGAGCCCCTTCACTGTTAAGGGGTTTTCTGGCTATGACATAATGTCAGAGTATTGATGATCTGATTCTCAGGTGCCCTGTAGCCCTACTCAGGGAACTTCTGTTCTAGAAACCAAATTCAGAATCATCCTCCAGGACGACTCTTACAGCTGTAATGAGTAGCCTTGAAATGTCCCCATGATCCTGTAACCAGGGGAGCCCAGGCAAAATGCCAAGCAGAAATTCTGAAGCTCTGAGTCCTGATCCTGAGTTTGCACTGAAACGTTTTAATAAAACCCTAATGACTAATCACAAATTTTGAGTCTCTCTTACCTTCAATGTGACTTGCAAAGGTCAAAACTACCAACCAACAGTTCAGAAACCATTTACTACTTTCTATGCTCTGGCAGGCTTTGGGACACAAGGGTGAATGGGGGTGGGGGTCATCTCTGCCCTGGAGGAATCTACAAACCAGTGGAATAACAATGAAGCTTTCCCAGACTCCCTGGGGAGAATTAGGAGATCCCAATGCTTGGGTCTCCTGGGACCATGTACAGCCCTCTAGAGCCTTGACATTGTTTCTGTGCTCTGTTTGGAGGTCTGCTGCCCCTTTGGGCAGTGAGTTCCTAGAGGGCAGGGTCATATCTTACTCAACTCTGTATTCCCAGTGCCTGGTGTAAGTAGGTGGCCCTCCAAATGCTTTTATAAAAAGGGAGGTATGGACAGTGTCCTGGGAAAACAGAGCAGGGAGAAATACCAGGTGATGTGATGCAAACCAGAGGGTTTGCATCATTCAGCTCGAGGGTCTCAGGTAGCTTGACAAAGGAGGAAGGCATTTGAGCTGGGGTTTGCAAGACAGGGAGAAGTTTCTGGGAGCTGTTTGGGGAATGGCCTGAGGAGCGCCTGTGTGTCCACCATGGCTACACTGCGTGGGCTCCTTCCCTGCACGTGGCACCTTCCCTAAAGGAGACACACATCTTTGGTTGGTCTGCACATTTCTCTTAGACAAGCCAGCCATCTGTTGAGCTCTGGATCTGTCCTTAGCTAGTTAGTAACAACTGATTTCTAGCTGTGTGTGTTAAGGTTTAAAAACACACAGAAACGCTAGGCAGGGGCATTTCTTGTCCAGAGGATTTCAGGCAAGCTTTATAAGAGTTCCAAGGAATGTGTGGGAGCAGAGCAGTGACACTGATCCGTGTACGTCTGCTCAGTAGGGAGTACGCCTGAAACTTCTTTAGGAACGAGGGGCGTACCTCTGGTCGTGATTTGTTGCAGCTCCTGTAAGCACATTGCCCCCAGAGCCCCTTTTTCTTTAGGGCTTCTCTGCTACCAAATGATAAGATGTACTTATTAATTACATTAGTTATCATCTGTTCCTCGCTGCCAGAGCGTAACCTCCGTGAAAGCAGGGGTCTTGGGGCATCTGTGACAACTGTCACTGAGGCATCCCAAGTGCCTAGACAATGTGTGGCATATACTAGGCACTCACTGAATATTGATATGAATGAGTATATTGAATGAACGAATGAATGAATACTTCTGCCCCAGATCCGAGCCCAAGTAAAGGGAAGGACAGTTGTCCTGAGAGAGTGGAACTCGGGACTGGAGGGTCACCAGTATTTCCTCCAGGGCGCTGGCCTCTGTGGCATAGGCTGGCTGCTTTCCAGTGGCTGGGCTGGTTTGTCCCCCACAGTGGATATCGTGAATATACCCAAGCAATACAAAAGGCGATGCCCCAGAAGTACTCTAGTCATTTACGTGGCTGTTGTTTAGATGTGTTCTTTATCACAGGAGGTAGCTGTGATGCAGTCCCAAAGAACACTGTGTCAGGAGACCTGGGTCCAAAGCCCAGATTTGTCCATTTCCAGCGAGGTGACTGAGGAGTAGTCATTTGCCGTCTCTGAGCCTTAGTCTTGTCAAACGGGGGCGGTAACCCCCTTCACAACGTGCCTAGCACTGCACCTTGTGACACCCGGGAAGCCCTCCATGAGCAGCGTCGCACCCGAGGAGACCCTCTGAAAGGCCAGTAGTGTGGGTGGGTTCTGCGAGCCTGTTTCCCAGGCAGTCCCTGGCTCTCCCCAGGAAAAGATCCAGCAACGCCCCTTGAGTTTTGTGAGGGAGGATCGTGCAGCAGCCCCTGCTCCAAACCCAAATCCCCAGTAAGTCAGGAAGATGTATGTGTTTTAAAACATTGGGAGGTCTGCGTTGGATCACCCTGGAGCCGTGGCTTCCCGGAGCAGCTGAGAGTGAAGGGAAGCAGTTCCTCTGCCGGGAGCTCTCCCGGCTCGTGTCCCACAAGGGGCTGCCTTCACTCGGCTTTGGCGGCCGTTGACTTTTAAATCATAAAAAGCCGCTCTGTATACAGTTTACTCTGTTGCTAGAAGGCGGCAGAACATAGGTATTAAAAAAGGAAAAAAAAAAAAAAAAAAGAAAGCAGAAGAAGCAGCCGTTAATCCCGCCAGGCTTCTGGGCACTGGAGCAGTTGCGGATGACAAAAGTTAATTAGAAACATGAGCAGTTTAACCGAAAACACTTGTGACAATTGGAAGGACAGCCTTTCGGGCTGGAGAAGTTTTCCTAGGGAAGCGTTGCGGAAGAAAGTGGCTGCCGCTGGGTAAGTCATGTCATCGTGACTCTGCAGGCACAGACATGCTCTTCGGGGGCCAAGGCACTGTATCCTGCCTGCACTGGCAGGCGCGGCCGTGGGTGGGTGTGGGTGCCGGGCTCAGCCATGTCCCTGCCACCTTCCCTCTGACAGCTGCCCTGACGTTGGGGACGGAGCTGTGAGGCTCCGAGTGCTGCCTGAGGAAGGGCACTGCAGGGTTCATGTCTGCAGGCTGGGCCACCTCGGTGCCTAGCGGAGCACCAGTTTGGAACCCGCCCTTCTCAGAATAATTCCAGTTCTAGTTTGGAAATATTTTGAAGCTTTTCTGAGAAAAGAGTCTGGCCGGGGAGCTACTCCCTGACCGCCAAGGGGGAAACCTTGACTTTCAGATAACCTGCGTGTTTTCCTGCTTACGGTGAAGGCTTGTGCCCAGTTCATACTCTTAAGCTCAAAAGGCTTTTTTATTTTAACTCTAACTTGCATTGTGTTCGTAACTCTTTAAAAGTGCCAACATAGGAAAAAGGTATTTGCTTTGATGGGATTTAGCAACTTTTGTGGGTAATTCTTCTTCTGTAAAGATTATACTTGGTTTCTCTTTTTCTGGATTTTTTTTTTTTTTTTTTTGGTCTGTTCTGTTTGAATGTCTCTGCTACATTGTTTTCTTAAAGTTGGATAATTCTCAATTGTTTGGCTTAACTAGGAAACGGGGTTGCGGGTTGAGTCATTCAAAACAGGAGATGTTTCCTGCATCATTCTACGCCATCATAGTGGTGATGCAGATTTTTGTTTTCCCGTAAACATAATGTGCTTAATATTGCCTTGTGCGTGTTGATGTTAAGATGAGCAGCATTCACACAGCATACACCAAAAGGTGACAAGGGGGGCATGTGAATAGCACGTGAATTGGAGAAAGTCAGGGTAGAGTTTAGATTCAACCACAGGTAACGCACGAAGCAGGTAATGGAGCTGCGCGGCATCTGGGTTGGAGCAATTGGCCGTGTAGCCGTGGCCGATGCCCCCTCGTGATCAGTGCAGATCCATGGGTGTGATTCAGGTCTCCTTCTCTTCCCCCTGTCTCTACAGAGCCTTTGGTGAGTCCGGCCCCCTCCCACCCCGGAATGAGCGAAGATGCACCTGCTGCTTTGGAGGGCGTCGGCTGCGCCCCTGCTAATTGCGGCGCCTCCTCGGCCATCCCCCAGCCCGGCACGGCCTCCAAGCCCTGGCGCAGCAAGTCGGTCAGTGTGAAGCACAGCGCCACGGCTGCCACGCTCACGGTCAAGCCTCCTGCACCCGAGGCCCCCAGGCCCACCCCCGAAGCCCTGAAGCCAGCCCCCAACAATCAGAGGTCCATGCTGGAAAAACTGAAACTTTTCAACAGCAAGGGGGCTTCCAAGGTGGGTGAGGGCCCGGGGTCACGGGATACAAGCTGCGAGCGGCTGGAGATCCTGCCCAGCTTCGAAGAGAGCGAAGAGATGGAGGCCGGCGGTCGCCCGCTGTCCGCGGCGGGCCCCACCTCCAACAGCCCCAAGATCGCGCTCAAGGGCATTGCCCAGAGAACTTTCAGCCGGGCGCTGACCAACAAGAAGAGTTCCCCGAAAGGCAGCGAGAAGGAAAAGGAGAAACAGCAGCGGGAGAAGGAGAAGGAGAAAAGCAAGGACCTCGCCAAGAGAGCCTCGGTGACAGAGAGGCCGGACCTCAAGGAGGGGCCGAGAGAAGACCTCAGCGGGGTGGCGGTGACCGAGATGCCAAAAAAGTCCTCCAAGATAGCCAGCTTCATCCCCAAAGGGGGGAAGCTCAACAGTGCCAAGAAGGAGGCCCCGGCCCCTTCCCACAGTGGGATACCAAAACCAGGAATGAAGAGCATGCCTGGGAAATCCCCAAGTGCCCCCGCGCCTTCCAAGGACGGGGAACGCAGCCGGGGTGGGAAGCCGAGCTCCGGGCTCCCCCAGCAGAGGCCCCAGCTGGACGGCAGACACTCCAGTTCCTCCTCCAGCCTGGCGTCCTCGGAAGGCAAAGCCCCAGGAGGGACCACTCTGAATCACAGCATCAGCAGCCAGACTGTCAGTGGGTCCGTCGGGACCGCCCAGACCACGGGAAGCAATACTGTCAGCGTCCAGCTACCTCAGCCCCAGCAATACAGCCACCCCAACACTGCCACGGTGGCGCCTTTCCTGTACAGGTAGGAGCGGCTGCCCCCCTGCCCTGCCGGGGCCCGTGGGCAGAGAAGCCTTGCTGGTGGATTCTGGGTCTCTGAGGGTAGGGATCAGGACTGCTACCCAGGAACATGGAGGCACACAGCTCAGGTGCCGCGTGATCTGTGTGCTTGAGGGACGGTTAATTCAGCAGCACTGGGGGGAGGTCAGGAAGCTAAAGAGTGAAGTAGAATGTGAGCTGATCCTGGGATAAGGAGGAGTGGCCCAGGCACATGGGGACCCAGGGGATTTGCAGAGGCGGCGGCAGCACGAGCAGAAGCTAGGAGGGTGGTTTGCTATCACTCGACAGGCTCCAACATCAGTCCTAAAGCATCCTGAATGTACTTTAAACAATGAAAACCACAAAACCACCTTGCTGAGTAACGGAGACTTCTCACAGAGGTGCTTATCTTAAAATTCCAGATCCTCAGGGTTTCTTACCCCATCACACGTATTAAATATGTTTTCTTTTCTTTTTTTTTTTTAAATTAAAAAAATTTTTTTTTGGCTGTGCGGTGTGGCTTGCAGGTTCCCAACCAGGGACTGAACCTGGGCCACGGCAGTGAAAGCCCAGAATCCTAACCACTAGGCCACTAGGGAATTCCTTAAATATTTTTTCGGTCCCTGCTGTGTGCTGGGATTTCTCAAGGGGAGAACAGCATGAGGAAGAAGGGTAGCCGTAAGGAGGGACTGGTTCTAGAGGAACCGAAGAAACCCGGGTTGTATTTGGGGAGACAAGCCTGGGTGTTTGCGTCTGTCCGTCATCGGTCCCTCGGTCTGTCTGTCTCTAATGGCACATCCTTAGCACCACGGGAGACCACGTGGAGTCAGGTGCTGTTGCTCTGGGTGGTTCTGGCCTACGAGAGCCTCTGGTTGCACCACACACCTGTACAGGATGGAGGACACTGGCTCCAGGTGAGGGTGATGCTGGATACATGGGATGAGTCCTATCCGGGCAGATGCGAGCCTCTCAGCCCTGCTCTTGGGGGTTCCCAGAACCTTGTTCACAGTGCTTGACTTGATCCTGTGCTCGAGATGTGCAGGGCAGTGGGCTACACTGCACAGCTGAGTGATAACTAATACCTCTCCACAGCACAAGGGGACCGGTGGTTGAATGCCACAGTCTGGGCACTTACTTTACAGTTTCTACCCTAAGTATATACACAATCACACCTGTACACACACACTCATACACCTATAGTGTGGATGCACATCAGGGACAGTCACACGTAAGTAAGGACACAAGTACACATTCATACATAAAATGCAAATACACATATTCACACGTGTATTTACATACCTGTTCATATGCACTGACTCAGGCCCATGCTTTCAGCTTCCTCTGTTTACATGGTTCCCCAAAGAATTAGATATTTCCTCTATTTCTGCCTGAGGTGAGTTCTAGTAGGTTCTGTCACCATTCCTGCCAAGAGCTGATAGAAAGTCTGGTTCAAGCGATTGATTTCAGAGTCAAGCCCACAGCATTCAGCCTGTGAGGGAATGTCAGGCTTCTGAGGAGAAGCTCTTTCCTTTTCGTTGCTTACCCACCCCTTCAGTAAGGGTCACGCCAGACCTTTTTAATGGGAGGCGGTCATCTTTGTATTCAGTCAAGTCATCAGCTCAGCTAACAGTCCTGAGAAGGGTGCCAAGGCTTAGATAATGACTCAGCATTGCCTCCATGCTCAGCTTTTTATACAACTGTTCTCTGCACCGTGGAGGCAGCTGAATTGTTTGCCGTGAAATTTTTATCATGGCAGTCGCGCGAGTAGTCTTGAGGTGCTGCCTGTTCGAGCGACTGTTCCCAGATGCTTGATCTGCATTTGCAGAATTAAAATACATGACTGTCTGATCACCCATCAGTCTCACCCCCGCTCCTTTTTTTTCTGGCTGTAATTATTTGAACGATTCTAAAACGTTTAACCTTTTCAAAAAATATTTCAAGATTTTTCAATGAGAGGAAAAACTCTTAATGATAAAGAGCAAATGTCTGACAAATAGGAGGAAGGAGAAAACGTCACGTGTGTCTGTCAAGCTGCGTCTTAGTGTTTATGCTCACCCTGTGTGATGTCCTTCTGGCTCCTCTGAGGTGCCTTTCCTCTAGGTGAGCCAAGTAGGAGGATGGAAAGAAGAGCACTGAGATAGGAGCCAGGATGCCTGGACTCTGCCTTTTATTCGCCTGTGAGTCCCTGGGTGGCCTTGGGACCTGGCTGCAGGCATAGCTGTTGAGTATGTACCACACGAGTGCAGAGACCCAGCTCATTTAATCATTCTCACAACTCCATGAGCTGGCTACCCTTTTCATCCCTGTTCTGAAGGTGAGCAGACTGAGGCCTAGAGTATTTAGGTAACTTGCTCTAGGTCAAGGAGCTGACAGCCAGAAAGCTAGTGTCTAAAGCCAAGGCTGTCCCTTTAAGAGGGGCCAAGTGCTTAACCACGAAACCATCGTGACTCTAAATCACTGCCTCGCTTTGAGCCTCATCTGTAAAGTGAGGAGATGGGGCTAGATTAGAGGATTTTAGGAAATGGTTTAGGCTCCCTTCGTGCTCTGAGATGCTCTCTCTCAAGTTTATAGCTCACTGTATATGCCTTACAGCGCTCCCCCCAGAACCTCTCCACGTTAGTGATGGTACCAAGGGAAGAAAAGGGAGATAAATCACCTTTGAAAAATAACTCTGAATGAATCATAGTTACCGATTCAGCAGGCACACTGGACACGTCTATTGCTTTACACTTTACTGCTTTTATGTTGTCTCACCTGTGATTTTTGTAGCAGCCAGGGGAGGTCGCTGTCATAATCCCCGCTTGAGGGCCAGACGCTCAACGAGGTGCAGTGACTTACTGAGATGTGCGTGGCTATCAAGTTACAGACTCCACACTGCAGCCAGCTCACTGTTCAGACTCCAAGTCTAATGTTCCTCCTAGCACCCAGCATCGTTCTAGACTTAAAAACTTCTCTTTATCCATTCGGCACACCCTGCCTGAGTGCCTCCTTGGCACGTGAGTTGGAACAGATCGTGTTCTCATGTGCACGCATCAAAAGAGCCAGGCTTAGCCTTCAGAGAGCTCTTAATCTAGCGTAGGAGAGATTTATCCATTAGATCGTATTGTAATAAGTAGGCATCAGGAGAATAGAGACGCACGAGGGGTAGAGCCATATGCTGGCCAAGGACTGGGGAAGGCTTCCAGGCCAAGATGACATGGGGACTGTGCCTGAAAGGTAGATTAGGAGCAAACTAAGGAAGAAAGAAGAAAAGAGCCCTTAGGCAGAGGGCACAGTGACTACAAAGACAAAACTTAAGGACAGGGTATGATCTGGGAATGGAGAGAAGCCACATGTGGGTGAAGCATAGGGCAGGCCTGTGTGTAGAGGGCAAGAGTGGTAGGAGACAGGGCTGGAAAGGAAGGAAGGAAGAATCCCACGATGTAGGGCACCTTCTATCACAATTAGGACCTTAGACCTTATTCTGGGGGCAGCGGGAAACCATCAGAGCCCTTTCATCAGAAGGTGACAGGATCACATCGGCATCACCGAGATCAGTGCAGGACAGAATGGGCGTGGACCAGACCTAGGAACAGTCTAGAACAGAAGTCACAGTTCACGTGCCTGCTTGGCTCCACAAAGGTAATGCAAATGAGTGGTTCAGGGTGAGTGGGACTCTGGTAGAGGGAACCCCACGCCTCTCTAGAGGGGGCCGCCACCACTTGTCACCAGCAGGCGGCGCCCTGCAAGAACGTGAGCTCAGTCCTTCCAGACTTGTTTCTACTGGGAGAAGGCAGAAATCCAGAATTTTTGTGAAATCTCCCAATTTTTAAATGTGGAAATGAATTCAGAAGCTTTAAAAAAAATACTGTGGTGACCAATAAGAATCAGTCTGTGGGCTGCTTTCTGTACATGGCTGTCGCTGGCAACCTCTAGTCTGGAGGCAGCGTACCTGTTCACAGAGTGCTTCTAGGGCCTGGGCAGAGATGGTGAGAGCTTGGATTCTGGACAAGGGAAGGAGAGGAACACTGAGAGCGTGAAAATCCTTTAAAGGTCGAGATGGCGGGAACGGGGAACCGATGGTATCGGTAGGAGGGCAAAGGGGGGAGCGTGGATGAATGACGTGGGGTTATCAGTACACATCCACCACAGTCTGTTTTAGACAGTTCACAATGCTGGCAAGCACTTTCTTCACAGGGAGTGAAATCTGGTTGAGTCAGCTCAGGATGCTAATGAATTAGTAACGTTACACCCACGGTTATGTGTCTGAGTATAATTATATGTTTGCATGGCACGCCAAAATATTCAGAGGTAATTGTGGCAAGAGCACGTGGCATGAAGCAGTTGCCTCGATTTGCTTGACAGAAAAGGGCCTGGAGAAGGTTTGGGGAAGTACAGAGTTCAGTCAGGTGTTGAAGTAATGATCAATGAGACCTTTCGTCTCAGAAGCTCTGAGCTCTGAATCAGACCTAGAGGACAAACACACCTGCCTGCCACCCACTCCTCACTGGTTGTACGGTCATCTTTCCAGAGACGGCCGTGTCAGGAGGATCTGGGGGGGGCCCTGGGGGCTGTCAGTGGAGTCATGGAGTCATCTTCAGGCTTGGCGTGCTGGCATCGCTGGTTACTTAGAAGTGGCTCTTCGGCACATGTTAAACATTCCAAACCATCCAGTACTCGACAGCATTTTCCTGGCTAGCCCTAGCTCCCCGAAGGGCATGCAGAGAAGCGTTCTCCAGTGAAGGATTGCAGACCCTCCATTTGGGTGATGAATATTTCATCTTTTACAGTTCGGTGGCTTTCTCTGTTTCTAGGACCTTGCTCCACGTGCACCAGTGGATTATTTAGTGTCCGTCTGCTGGTCTGCTCTGTTCTAAAGCTTCTTGCCGAAGGAGGGGATGGTCGGGGCTGTGGTCGGGCACAGTGGTCCGGATGTGCTAGTTACCCCTTGTGACAAGTGTGTCTGCTCTGGTTTGTGTGTGAAGGTCCCAGACAGACACCGAAGGGAATGTTACTGCCGAGTCCAGCTCAGGGGGTGTGACCGTGGAGCCGAGCCACTACACCAAGAGTGGACAGCCTGCCCTGGAGGAACTCACTGGTGAGTTTGGCGCCTGGAAATTCCGTGTCTCTTGGTGGTGAGGCCTCCCGTGCAACCATCTGCTGGAAGGTCCCGAGCCCAGCTTGATGTGAAGTTGCTTCACTGTTGCCTTGATTGATGAGCCAGACAAACGGATTGTCTGTCTTACTACCTTCCTTCTCTTTCTTCCTTCTCTTTCTTCCTTCTCTTTCTTCTCCTTCTCTCATGATCTATTCCGTCCTCCCCAGAATTGTAAATAAGTTGTAAATAGGTCTTTTACCTGTTGGCCATTCTGTTTTTTGGTTGTTTTTTTTTTTGCGGTACGCGGGCCTCTCACTGTTGTGGCCTCTCCCGTTGCGGAGCACAGGCTCCAGACGCGCAGGCTCAGCGGCCATGGCTCACGGGCCCAGCCGCTCCGCGGCATGTGGGATCTTCCCGGACCGGGGCACGAACCCGTGTCCCCTGCATCGGCAGGCGGACTCTCAACCACTGCGCCACCAGGGAAGCCCTGTTCTGTTTTAAGGTTTGCTCCTCTCCAGTCATGTAGGGGCTCTGGACTGCTCGGATACTTCACTTTGAATCTCCTCGTTCACTCTTCAGATAGAGTTGCCTTACAAAAAGACTTGGAACTCTAAAATGTATTGACTTTTTCAAATTTCCTTTAAGAAGCACTGATTGAACATTGTTCTGAGCACCCTCGGAACAGTTGGAAAGAAGATTTCAGCATGCTTCTTTTACCAAAAACAAATCTAAATTTTATTTAAATATAACCCAGACAAGGATGATTAAAGGGATATTATATCACATAAAAACATAAAATCTGCAATTGTCATATAGTTAATTCCACAATTATTTATTAGTGTTATACTGTCACATTCTTAATTTAAAGAAAAAAAGGTAGCATCAGAATTCCTACTGCAGTGTATTCCGAGCTACCACCTTCTCTGTCCCTTGTCCCCCGTTCCCAGCTCTGTGCCCTAGGTTCCAGCAGCTTCTAACCAGGGAAGGGAGTGGTAAACCACATATTTAGCAGTGGCTGAGTTATTCTTCTCATATCTTACCACTTCAGAGTTGGGTTAAAAATTGAATCCATGTTTAATATCCATTTATTAGACTAATTATCCATGACCCCACCATATTAATAGCCACATTACAGCTGTGGAGTTGGTCTGCAGCCCACATGATCAACTCTTATACCCATTTGCCCATTAGCTCTGAGTAGTAATTTCAGAGGATCTGAGTGATCTCTCTCTTCTCTTCTGGTTCTGCTGCCTGGGCCCTGTGATGGGGCAGAGGGGTTCCAGGCCGTTTGTAAATGACCCATCTTACAGTGGTTTAGGGCCCCATTTAGTGGTTTGGGATTGATTTTATGTTTCCTTCTCTCCCAGGTTTTAGCTCCCCTGCCTATGAGGACATGGATAGTGCAGGAAAAGGGCCAGCTCTCAGGAGAAGGGTGTGGAGTTTAATTACTACTCAGGTCTCCACACACATTCCAGATTGTGTTCGTATGTGCACGCATCAAAAGAGCCGGGCCGGTGGTTCAGAGGCCGGCACCGATCAGATGTGTGACTCGTGGAGGAGTGTGGCGTCGTGGCAGACATTGGGGCTCAGTGAAATTCACATCTGAAAAGCAAAAGCGGCAGCCGGAAAACATTCCGCATAACAGTTAAATTTCACAGGGACAGATGGCAGCCTGTGATCTTTTCACTCCTTTATCTTTTTCTCCCCATGTCTCCTGTGCATCAGGACAGTAAACCAAGTGAGAGCTCAGAAAGCCTGAGATGCTGTCGGTTTGGGGACCAGAACCGTGCAGCCAGTCATGCCTGATCAAGCCCCCTTTGGTGTAAAGTCAGAAGATGTCAGTTGCTAAGGAAAATATCTGAATTAGGGTGACTCGTCTTTCCATTCAAGTAGTGGGACTCACAGGGGCGGCTGTAACACAGGCGGCTGTAAGTTAATAATTTTATGGAGACGCTGCATAGTAGCTTGTACGTATGAGGTCGAATTCAGCTTATGTACAGCCGATCCCTTGAAATGACAACAAACGGGTGTATTTAGGAATATGGCCACTTATGAGACTATTTGATCAATTGCTAAGTTCCTCCCCTTACTTATGCAAGTAGGTGAATTTTCCCATGGTGCTCTGTCATGTACATAGCGTTACACGTGAGTCCTGCATCTCAGATTGTAACGTTAGAAGGAACAACGTCCGCTTATTATCCAGTCCGTGAATCCCTTCGATCGTTCATTGATGAATTGTCTTTCAGTCTCTGCTGGAATACTTCTTGTGATGGAAAGTCTATTCCTTCATGAGGCAGCCCTTCCGTATTTTATTGGCGTTAAGTAGTAATAGAGTCTTTTATCCTTACCTTTCTAAATCACTGGATATAATCCAGCCTCACGGATATAATTTCCATTCTTTTCCGTATAGCAGCGTGTCCCTTAGCCTCCCTCTTCCAAGTAAAAATCCCCGGTTCCATCCATGTTCCTCATGTAACACCCTGACATCCTCACCTCTGCTCTGTTTGGTCAGAATATGGTGTTCTCTCCATCATGGCCAGTGGCTTGAGGGAGGACTGCCCTTGGTAGACACAGGAGAGCCACAGGTAGACATGGAATAGTTCATTCAGTTTTTAATTTCTCTGTATACGGGCTTTAAGGGCCCAGCCATTTCCACCAGGGCACGGCTGTGTGTTTATTTTGTTCAGGCTATGGGTTGGTAGGGAGATCTTACATTAGGGCCATCTTCCAAGCAGGTAGAATTGGCAGTTCAGAACGTGATCACCTGAGCAAGGCAGGTGGATTACTGGTTTGTGTTTCTACGTTGCTCTTGGAATCTGTGTATGTAGTGCTCCGAGAGGAGCAGATGTTTCCTAGTGGGACCCCTCAGAGGGACCCAGGACACTCAGATTCAATGAGCCCTCATTTTATGCCAGGCACATCATGTATCATCTCATCTGATCCTCCTAACCTTGAGGGGGAAGGGGTTTTATCCCCATTTGACAAATGACATTTAGAGAGAATAAATGACTTTCCTGAGGTCAAGTGGCTAGTAAGTGGCAGTGCCGTGATTCAAACCTTTACCTGTTGGAATGCAAAAGCTATCCTTTTTATTCAGCCCTCCGTTGACCAAACATCTTGTGGACAATAAATATTTCTTGAGCATCTATAGGTTTGTGTGGGGTTATCAAAAATAAAGGTGAGATACCACTCCACATCAAAGATCTTTGAATTTCTAAAGGAGAGTTAACAGGCAAATGTGTCATTCATAGAGACATGGATAAATACAGGCATACCTTGGAGATGTTGCAGGTTTGGTTCCAGACCACTGCAGTAAAGCAAATATTGCAGTAATGCAAGACACACAGAGTTTCTGGCTTCCCAGTGCATATAAAAGCTCTGTTTACACTACACTGTAGCCTGTTAAGTGTGCAGTAGCATTATGTATAAAGAAAACAATGTACAGGACTTCCCTGGTGGCGCAGTGGTTAAGAATCCGCCTGCCAATGCGGGGGACACGGGTTCGAGCCCTGGTCCGGGAAGATCCCACATGCCGTGGAGCAACTAAGCCCGTGCGCCACAACTACTGAGCCTGCGCTCTAGAGCCCGTGAGCCACAACTACTGAACCCACGTGCCACAACTACTGAAGTCCACGCTTCTAGAGCCTGTGCTCCACAGCAAGAGAAGCCACTGCACTGAGAAGCCCACGCACGGCAACCAAGAGTAGCCCCCGCTCGCCGCAACTAGAGAAAGCCCGCGTGCAGCAACGAAGACCCAACTCAGCCACAAATAAATTAATTAAAAAGAGAAAAGAAAACAATATGCATACCTTAATTGAAAAATACTTCATTGCTAAAAAAGGCTAACCATCATCTGAGCCTTCAGTGAGTCATAATTTTTTTGCTGGTGGAGGGTTTGAAATTTTGGGAGAATTACCAAAATGTGACACAGAGACACAAAGTGAGCAAGTGCTGTTGGAAAAATGGCACTGATAGGGCTTGCTTGACACAGGGTTGCCACAAACCTTCAATGCCCGCGAAGCACAAAAAGCGAAGCACGATAAAACAAGGTATGCCTGTAAATATGGTTTTTATACTGTTGTGTGTGATTAAGTTAATTAATGAAGGTAACTTGAAAACTGGTGCCTAGACTTAGCTTCATAATAAATGTTCCCTGCAGGACCTGGAGCTATCCAAAGGATCAGTACCTTTTTGGCAGCCTTTACACAGATAAAATGTGGTCAAACTGGCAGTAAAAGATATTTAATTGATGGCCCAGGAGATAGATGCAATTACATTCCTCCACGGCCATTAGGGGAAGGTAAAATAGATATTCATCACTGCTTTTGTTTAAAAACACATACATATATGTATATATATATATATATGTATATATATATATATATATATATATATATATATATATGTATTTCAAAGAATTGAATGGGAAATGCAGGTTTGACCACTTTTTAGATAAGACAAAAATGCCTTCCAAATTTCTCTTGGTTAGAAGTGGGAAGAAAATTGAAAACACTGGCATTTTCAAGGGTAGAGAGTTTGCCATAGCAGATTATCTCCATATAATCAATCCTTTAATCCATTCCCCACCCTCCAGGCACCACCATGCTGGGAATAATCTAAGATCATCTGTCTCAGAAGGAACGTTAATTCTATGACATTTCTTATAGAAATGTCTATAAGAAATGCCTGTTGCACTATTAATGACAGTTGCTGGAAGTTCTGCTTGGTGTCTGCCCTATATCCCACTTGCTGCTGCCCATGTGTACTGTGTTCTATATAGAGATTTCTTTAGAAATATTGCTGAGCACTTGAAATAGTCATCAGCTTTTAAAGACCCTTGGTTGTGGTTTTCTCAGCCCTCCTGAAATTACTCTGAGGGAATGATGCGTGATTCCTTTAATCACTATTTTAGTTATTTGGCTTTTCCTCTCCCCCTATAAGCAGCCCAAACTAAACAAAATAGCCAGACAACCCAAAGTGAGGCTTCCCTGAGAGGGGACGTGGCTTCTAGCTTGTGTGTAGCCTGTTTCTCCTGGGATGTTTGTGCCAACTTGACCTCTCCGGGCCAGGTATTTGGTGGGAAATGTTGCCCAGGGAATAGAAGTCCCTTATCCCCCAGAGAGAAGCCTGAATCTTCTCGAACGATCCCCGCTCTGCAGCACCAGCTGGCGTGAGTTGAGTGCTTTTGGTGGGCGCTGCGCTCAGGGATCTCCATTTAGTCCCTACAACAGTCCTTTGAGGTCAGCGCTGTCACTGTCTTCGTCTAGGACCGCGGAATCTGAAGGATGGAGAGAGAGGGTCAGCACCTATCCCGTGACCACTCAGCCAGGGGGTTAAAGGAGCCAGCATTCGAGATGACATAACACATCGAACAAAGAAAAAGGCAAACCTCTCTCTGGAGGAATATTCATGATTAATAAGTGCAGATCTTTTAGCCACTACAAATTAACCATCTGTAATGTCGGGCCAGTAGACAGCAGCACCTGTCACCCATGGGTGAGAAAACCAAAGGTCCTTCCTGGGCAGGGGTCAGACCTAATGTGTTCGTGGCTTTATTGGAGACAGTGTGAAAACGTGTTTGTCTCAGGCTCGGCACTTTATTTTTCCCGCGGCTAGACTTCACCTGTGCTGGGGGGACCTGCAGGGAGAAGAAAGACCTCTCTCTCTCTGTAGATTTAATGCCTTCCTTTGGGCACCTGTGCATTTATTCATTCACGCATTCATTCTCAAATCCTTTTCGAGCACCCGTGGTGAACCAGGCCCTGAGCAGGAAACGTGGTTTTGGTCACAGGCACAGTTGCTGTTCCCAAGAATCTCCCCATCTATCTGAGAACTAAAATAGCTTTAACCTTTGTCTCTCCAGGGGAAGATCCCGAGGCTCGGCGCCTGCGGACGGTGAAGAACATCGCTGATCTGCGGCAGAATTTGGAGGAGACCATGTCCAGTTTACGGGGAACTCAGGTTACACACAGGTATCTAGAGCGTGAATCACTTTCCTGAACCAGCTAGTAACTTGGTTTTCACATGGCTGCTCCTGCCACGCTGTGTTCCCGCCACTAGCCAAGTGATTTGGTTAATAACGGAATAAATAACCTCGATCGCCAAATGTGCTGGAATTCACCGAGAATGCCATACAGCATGCGGAAGTGTCAAGAGCAAAAATCCGTGGAGACAGATTCCTCCCCAAAGCAGACGGTTGCTAAATCCATTCCACAGAGGATGTTGCAGACCAGCTGCATTTAAATTTCCCTTTGCTTGCATTTTCCAAAACGATATGATATTATACTGTTGAAACGAGCAGGTGAACTGTGTTTGACCTGTGTGATAAAGTGAATAACTCGAATTCCTACCCAGTCTTCTGATCCCCAAGCGCTCTGTAATGTTGTTAGTCATGCACGTGTATAAAACACGTACAGAAATATTTATAAAAACGTAGGATCATGTTTAAACCATGATTTCGTTAGATGAACTCTAGGATTACACTGGAAACATCAGTTTCTTTTCACTGTTGAGCAAGAAGGGGAAGAGGATGCAGCCCTGGGACATCCTTCGTGATTTGGGCAGAACCAACTTTTATGGTTTGTGTTTGGCCTTGATGATCGAGGTAAAGTCCCGGTTACCCCTGTGAGCTCCCGGGTCTGGGGGGTCTCCCCTGCTTCTCCAATTTCAGTCTCTTTGATAAATGAATACAGCAAGGAGACTGCTGGGCTCCACCCCAGCCAGCAGCTTCGGCAGATTGGGGTTAAGCACTGTGGGTTCTTAAAGAAGACCAGGGCCCGAACCTTAGGAGTTCCCAGTATAAGGAGAGTCAGGCAGGCTGCTTCCAGGATCAGAGGGAAACAAAAACAGATGAGGCACCAAATTGATTCTCCCAGAGACAAGTCCACTGGGGGTGGCTGGTGATGGCATGGAACCAGGTGCTGGACCCTGCGACTCTTGATTAGCTAAGAAACATCCCTCTTTCTACCATCATCATTGAAACTGATTAAATGTAGGTTACAGCAGTTTCGTGGATTTCTTGGCTTGGGCTAGGATGGTGATCATGACAGGAGGGAAATCTTCCATGCTTTCTTCTGCAGGAAAGACTCGCTGTCTCTGCTTAGTAAAGAGACCCCAGCGTGTCTCTGCATCTTGATGGTGTGGCGAGACCTGCAGGGCTGGAAAGACAGTGGACTGACTGCAAAAGAGTCTTCGGAGGGCCAGGGACGAGCTCCATCCCCTGACAGTTTCAGACTCAGCTAGTTTCATGGGTCTCAAGCCCAGGCATCTACCACTCTTTTCTGGCCTTTTGCCCCCAAAGTTTGTCATTTTGGACAAAAGGTGGGAGAAGCAGAAGTGCGTGTGTGTAGCGGGGGCGGGGGGGGATAGATATTACAGAGTTAGAAAATCAGGGCCCTCCCCACCTGCACAGTCTGGAGAGAGCTGAGGATGTGAAAGTGGGATCTTAGGACCTTGGGAGTGGATGGGTACATCCTGCCTTTAGGAAAAGTGAGCTGAGATGCAGCATCCTAGGATGAATAGGCGCACAGCTACCTTATGCCCCGTTGTTATCAGTCCAGAGTTTTCTACTCCTTTCCTGGGTTGGAAAGAAGATTCCAGAAGTTAAGATTGTTTATTTAAAGTAATTGTTAAGGGGTATCTTGTACCATGTTTTAGGGGGAAAATCTGTGCTGGGCTTCTCAGAATGTCACGTAGATGTGCAGCTTCGTCTTCATTTTTAACAGAGCTACACTGGGTGGTATGTTGGTACCTTATTTTTTTTTTAACTTATTTATTTTATTTTTGGCTGCATTGGGTCTGTGTTGCTGTGCGCGGGCCTCCTCTAGTTGCAGTGAGCAGAGGCTACTCTTTGTTGTGGTGCATGGGCTTCTCATTGCGGTGGCTTCTCTTGTTGCAGAGCACGGGCTCTAAGCGCGTGGGCTTCAGGAGTTGTGGGTCATGGGCTCTAGAGCGCAGGCTCAGTAGTTGTGGCTCACGGGCTTAGTTGCTCCGCGGCATGTGGGATCTTCCCGGACCAGGGCTTGAACCCATGTCCCCTGCATTGGCAGATGGATTCCTTTTTTTTTTTTTTTTTTTTTTGCGTTACGCGGGCCTCTCACTGTTGTGGCCTCCCGTTGCGGAGCACAGGCTCCAGACACACAGGCTCAGCGGCCATGGCTCACAGGCCCAGCCGCTCCACGGCATGTGGGATCTTCCCGGACTGGGGCACGAACCCGTGTCCCCTGCATCGGCAGGTGGACTCTCAACCACTGCGCCACCAGGGAAGCCCGGCAGATGGATTCTTAACCACTGCACCACCAGGGAAGCCCAGTACCTTATTTTTTGATCCTCTTTTGTATATGGGAAGTATTTCATAATTCTAAAAAAAAAAAAAAAAATGAAAGAGAATGTGAAGACTACTGCAAAGACTACTAGGCATATTGGGGTCTAACCCAAAGCCGGTTTTATGTTTTTAGCACATTGGAAACCACGTTTGACACCAATGTCACCACGGAGATCAGCGGGCGCAGTATCCTCAGCTTGACGGGCAGGCCCACTCCCCTGTCCTGGAGGCTCGGCCAGTCCAGCCCTCGGCTGCAGGCGGGAGACGCCCCCTCGATGGGCAACGGGTACCCGCCCCGAGCCAACGCCAGCCGCTTCATCAACACGGAGTCGGGCCGCTACATGTACTCTGCCCCCCTGCGGAGGCAGCTGGCCTCCAGGGGCAGCAGCGTCTGCCACGGGGACGTCTCGGACAAGGCAGGAGATGAGATGGACTTGGAGAGCATAAGCATGGACGCCCCCGGCTACATGAGCGACGGGGACGTTCTGAGCAAGAACGTGCGGGCGGACGACATCACGAGCGGGTGAGTACCTGGGCCGCCTCTCTTTTCACGGAGCAGGGGAGGCATGGCCCCTGCCTTCTCTTCTGCGGGACTTATTGAAGTTCTCTGGGGGAGAGCAAACTGCCTTCCTCACGTCCTGTTCATTTTGAAGGCTATGTGCCCTGGAGGGGAGCCTTCTGGGCCAAGAGACACAGGGCTTGCACCGCAGTCCGGGCTTGGCAGTAACTCGCTGGGCAATTCCAGCCAGGCTCCACCGGCAGCCAGAGTGACACTTGACAACAAACCATATTGTGTCAGTCCTTTAAACCAAACCTTATGCTTAGGATCGAATCCAGACTCCTGAGCCTGGCCTACCTGGCCTACAGGATCTGGCCCTTACCTGCCTCTTAGAACTCATTTTCCTGTACTCCCCCTTGCTTCTGCTGCTGCAGCTGGTAATTCTTTCCCTCAGTCTCATCAAGCTCTTTCCTGCCTCAGGGCCTTTGCACTGTTTCTCTGCCTCGGTTCTATTGCCCAGATCTATTCCCCTGGTTCCTTCTGGCTGCTCAGCTGGCATCTCTTTGGAGGGGCCCTCCTTGACCCTTCAACTTGAAGTCCTTTATGTGACCTGCCCCAGGCCTAGTTTCCGTCACCGTGTCTTATGCTCATTTGGAAGCTTATTGCTGTTTGAAATTATCCTGAGGATGGGTGTATATTTTATCGTTTCCCCGCCCGTTCCTGCTTACAACAACAAGCTCCATCGTGCAGGGACTTGTCTGGCTTGCTCCCCACTGAATCCTCAGTGCCTTGTACATGTAGGAGCTTATAAACGTTGCTGAATTGGTGAGCACGCGGCTCGATGGATGAAGGAGCAGACCCAACCTCCCTGTAACATGCGAAGTTGAGGCGAGTGATGAGATGATGTCTGAGCCGGGCCGTGACCATGTGTGGCCCAAGGCTTGGCTTCTTGTTTTTGCCACACTTCCAGATCACTGTGGAAGCTGAACGAGCATCCGTTTGCTCCACTTTCTGTGAGTTCTTCATCTGTGAACCCGGCTTGCCCAGAAGCCCTCCAGGACCTTCCCCCCCACCCCGTCTAACATTCTAATAGATAAAATTACAGATAAAAAAATTAGGCATGATGATCATGCCACTCATTTTCCTGAATGTAATGATCAAGAACCCCATGGGTGAGTCAATGTTTTCATAATTTTAACAGTAGCTCGTTATCCTACTATGTGCCGAGCACTGTGCTAGGTGCTCTCTATATATGTTATCTTCTTCTGTCCTCACAGCAGTCCTTTGAGATAGGTGATATCATAATCCCCATCTTCTGGAGGAGTAAACTGAGGCTCAGGAAGGTTAAATAACTTGCCCAAGTAGTTAAGAAGCAGAGCCCAGGGCTAGTTCCTTAACCACCGAACTCCCCCATCTTGCCCAGCATTGTATTGCTGTGTTGAAATAGCACAGCTACTTGAGTTTATTTTAAAATTGTTTTGCTTAGTTCTACCTGTCTTACTAGAAGTGTTCTTTCATTTAATTAGAAGCTTAGACATAGAGCTGTTTTGGCTTTTTGCCTGTTACTTTTAGAACCATCCCATAGTGAAATCTTCAAAGACGGGAGCCACCAAACCCTTACCAAGTAACACGTTTCTGCTATTATCCAAACGGCTGGGAAAATTAATGGCCTGAGAAATCAAATGATCCAGTTAACTTAGAGCATCATTCTGTGTCTCTAGTTTTACATGAACATGAAAACAGTAACATATACCTGTTACTAAAATTACATGTAATTTAACCTTTTATTATTCTTTAGAAGACTGTTGGTATTCAGCATGGCCTCAAGGTCATCATTATCACTTCCCACTGTGATATACTACCAAAATACTTCGGGATTATTTTGAGATTTTCATATTTTTTAAGAAAGTTTATTCTCTTGTCAGGTCAGTCTTTTAATAAATGAAGATGTGTTTATTTTTATGTACTACTGACAGTTTCCACAAGGTGGAGACATTGAAACACCGTAAACTGAACCTTAGTGATGTTACAGTGAGACATTCCTAGTTTCTTCAGCTATTCAAACCAAAGCCTTTACCCTGCTAAAAGGCACAGATGTTTACATTTCACTCTCTGCTTTGGGAAGCTTACATTTTTAGCAAGTGAGATAGTGCTTAGAGCAAGTGTAGATAGGAAATGTAAGCAAACACCCAATTACTGAAATTGGAGAACTCTGGTCTGTTTCCAACTCCCCCCACCCCAGCCCCACCAATTCCTTTTAATGTAGAAATTTACCTGCACAATGAGGAGAGGCAGCCCAGATGGCATTGAGCACTCCTTCTAGTTGTGACATTCTAGAGTGCTAGTTAAGCATGACTCCACACTGGAAATAACACGCGGGTTTCTGCTTTGAGGCCAAGTTATAGGTTTGCCTGTATGTGCAGAGTTCAGGGCACGCCATTTAATATCCTTTGTACTCAATTCTTTTTCCTTTTATAAACATGACAAGGTTGTAGATATTGAATGACTGGTCATTTAGTCTGTACTTCAGAATCTGCCCAATAAGTCATATTGCTGAGGCAGTTGGTATAGTGGAAAGAAAACAGACAGATACCAGACAAGCTTGAATCCCGTTCTGCCACTCGCAAACTCTGTAACATTAAGCACGTCATTTAACTTCCCAAAGCCTCAAAGCACTACAGTTAATTTGGTTTTTAACCTTCTACAATTAGATTTCTCTTTGAGGTTGTATCTAATTAATGGCAAGTATCTGATAAAGACACACAGTTTTCAGACAGGGTTTAGATGTCTTATCAACCTCAAAGGTCCCGGCGCTTGGAAACAATGAAATGATTACAGTTTTCTTCCAGATGTTTGTTTGGCTTAGCGGAAACAGCCTCGATGTATGAGTAATATATAAATCAGTATTGAGGCTCTTTGAGGAAAGTTCTCGTAAAAGTTTACAGCAAGTTTAGTTAGCAAGACTGAGGTGGAAGTAAATTCTAGTTTCTGTAAACGTATGGCCTTTGTTTTCGAAATGACAGGGGCCTCAGCTCGGCAGAACAGCTGTTTTTTGATGTCTCCAGCTCATTGTCTCCTTTGGATGATTACATGTGCACCTGTGTGTATCATTCAGTTCTCCCTGAGGTAGGGCTGAAGTTACTTGATTTCCTTGGAGTTTAGCTAGGGAACTAATGGCACACGCCTTTGGTCTGTGTGTGTGTACTTATTAAACCCTTCTATCGCACTTAGTATGTGCCAGGCGTATCTACGTACTGTGCAAGAAATCGTCTGACCTCACCACTTCATTTTATTAGATTGATAAATTGGGCTTCGGCTGTGGTTAGTGGAAAAGGAATTAAAGGAACAGACGGGGCTTCCCTGGTGGCGCAGTGGTTGAGAGTCCGCCTGCCGATGCAGGGGACACGGGTTCGTGCTCTGGTCCAGGAATATCCCACATGCGGAGGAGCGGCTGGGCCCGTGAGCCATGGCCGCTGAGCCTGCGTGTCCGGAGCCTGTGCTCCGCAACGGGAGAGGCCGCAACGGTGAGAGGCCCGCGTACCACAAAAAAAAAAAAAAAAAGAAAGAAACAGACGAAGATGTCTCTTACCAAGTTTTGATCTGTGAAGCCAGTCCATCTACTCATCTAAAAATTCAGGGTGCCATATGGTATAGAGTGAAATTAAAGGGACAGACTTAGTGTCCATATGTTCGGAAAGATTTTTTTTTTTCTTTTCAAAGGAGTCAGTGAGTTGTATAATGTTCCAGAGTATGAATATACCTCCCTTCCTGGAAAAAAAAAAAAACGACCGTTCAAATTTAACATTAGAAGTTTCTCCAAGAGCCTTTGGCTTCCCATTGCCTGTGGGAATAGATCTCAACTTCTTAACTGAACAAGGGAGGCTGTTTATGGTCTTTCCCTCAGCTGCCCTCCCGCCTCCACCCTGTCCACATCCCTCCTCACACACCCCAGCTCCCCAGTGCCCTAGGCTACATGCCATTTGCTACCAAAGGCTGTTTCCTGCATTTGCAAAGCTTTGTGCCACAGGACCTGCCTCTTTCTCCCTGGAATTTCTTTCCCCTCAAGCTTATCTGACTGATTAAAAAAAAAAAAAAAATCCCAAACAAGCAAACCAAAAAAACACCTCCTCAGTGATGCCTTCCTGGACACCCCCTGTCAGTTAACTCTGTCTGATGCGTTTCTGGTGGTCTTGGTTCACACCCAACTTCATGTGTGAACCTTTCGCTTTGCGTGGGAAGTGTTTGAGAGGGAACTGGACGGTATTGAGGAAAGAATATGGTCTTAAGAGGCAAGCAGATTTGAGATTTAATCTTGGCTCTGCCAAATGAACTGGAGCAAGTTTTTAACATTTGGGAATTAGAGATAGAACTTGAAAAACACCCGGCAGAGTCTGGGATGCACAAGAAACATCATGCACAATGTGTGCGTGTGCGTGTGCGTGTGTGTGTGTGTGTGTGCGCGCCTTTCCTCCACCAAACATGGAGCTCCCAGAAGGCAGATAGTGCCCATTATTTGTCTAAACTGAGACTAGCACAAGTAGGAATTTAATAAATATTTTGTGAATGGTCTATCCTTCATGCCAACCCTCACGGGACCCTGGGCTTGTATAACTTGCTACCACCAGCTGTGAAAGTCAGTGATTCTATTTACAGAACACTTGGAGAAAATCAATTTAGCCTCTGGTCTTTTTTTTTTTGGTGTGATGCATAGGTCCATCTAGTGGCAAATATAGGGTGTGATGCTGTGGTTTTGATTGCTTTTGACTCAAAGAGTCAAAGTCTTATATTGGTTTAAGACTCAGGGCTGGTGTTATTCAAGGCTGAGAGAATGGAGATTGTAGCAGTTGGATCATCTTTCAAATGTGGCCTGACCAGAAGTCTAGTGCAAGAGAGAACGTGGGGTTGTGAGCAAGCTGGTCTTCAGAGTTGGCTTTTTGATGGCTAAATTCTTCCCTATTAGGTGTCAGGGATTACTCAACAGATACCACATGTGCCTGCTGGAAAACTTCATCCCTCAGAAGTTG